TCTTAAAAGGTGTTCAGATCTACGGTGTTAAAGTTAGAATCATGCGAAGAGAGTGGCGGGATGTGGCACCGACAGTACAGATCTCTGTGCTTAGTCGGGATCCAGTGAAGCTGGAAAGTCTGTTCAGGTGCATCTGAAGAGAAAATCACCCATAAACAGTAGCCCTGAAATTCACAAACACTGACTTCCGTTTGAAAAAATGAGGTAGATATCTTTTTCAAAGTTTTGTGACACTGTCGTCTTTATGGTTTATTTATTAGAATCTAGCACAATTATAGTCAGACAAGTCATTGAAAGGATTTTCGGTCGGCCTGAGGTAGGGTTTGCCTAGCTAAAATCTAAAGGTAGATGTAGACGTGGATACATTTTAGTGTCATAAAACCAGGAAAGTCAGAACTGACTGTCATTTCCTGTCCTCTTCCTCCTCGTACTTCTTAAATATGTTTATTCCAGAGTTTGGGGAAATATGAGTATGGAGGGGCTTCATTCTAAAACTTCTTTAATGTGAAGCTATATTGTGGGTTTGGCTGTGACTAATTTTCTGTGCAAAACAAATTAATAGACAGGATCTGATTTACTCAACTCATTGTTCCGTAATATATTAGCAAGGTATTTCTCCTTGTTTGCATTCAAGATTGATGTATCAAATGAAACTTAAGGAGATGGAAGAATTTGGGTACATCTATCGCATATTTTGGGAAATCCTATACATGGCAGTTTTTCAATGTCGCCTGAGTACAACATATTCTTCCAAAGAGATCCGTCTTTTCTCAAAAAAGGAAAAAAGGCTTTGGGGCCTCCCCTTCCCATCCACCATATTCCTTCAGCCTCCCTTCTCCGTAGTCCCTGTGTTCTCGTTTGACCAGTAAATGACCACCCCTCAGTGGGGGTAAAGCAGCATCTGTCAGCGAGCTGTCTCGCGTGAGTCATCTTTTCAGTTCGATTTCAGGAAAGGAAACGTGAGTAAGGTCTCTGTGTGTATATAGTCACGTATGTATTCTAGCAGGAAGAAAACATATTTATTTTGACACAGGGAAACACTGACTGACGTTGCTGAAGAGCTTGAAGGTAGCAGAAGGCTCCCTTCTCAACCTCCGAGCTGAGCCGCTCTGTGAGCCTGCCCTAGCCAGGCACACGAGTGAGCTGGGCAGGCCTGACTCGGTGAGGCCTCTTTCACAGGGAAAGCCAGTTTTTCTCCGATCCCTCAAGCCTGGGCTGAAAAGGTGGGGGCTGGGTACTGTGCTGCCACGGTTTCTAAGGACTGAGGTGTTACTCACAAATACAAAATATTTGGGGGGAACTGGGAATAACTTACTGGGAAACTAACTTTTTTGCTTAAAAGGGAGGTGTAAGAACCAGCACCCTCTTTCGATCTGCCGAGGATTTCCTCCCAGAGCCATTGCACAAATTGAGGGTGTGCTTGATCAGACACCAAACAAGACAGATGCGCACCCGAATTTCCAATGTGTTCTATGGGTTTCAATTCTGGAAACAAAATGAATAAAGATTTTAATAAGTATTGACGTATCATGTTTTCCTCTTATTTTTTCTCACATTTCAGGATATTTCCAGTGTTTTATATTCCAGTTTCCTATCTGTTCTGTTAGGGGGACAAAAGATTACATCTTCTGCACCTGCTTTAACTTCCCAGGGATCATTTCACAGTATCTTACGGATGAGACCTTTCGGCCTCCCCACAAGTCTCCCAGCGGCCCACGGCAGCTTGTGACTGGGCCACAGTGTCCCATAGGGTAGTCCGTGTTGCTTCTGTGTAGTTAGCAGTTCACTCCATTCTTACACCTTTAGAAGTAAAGAATTACGAATCTCGAAGAACTTGGCGCAGTACCGCAGAGGCACGGAAGGGAAGACCAGCGCCTTGGTGTCGTTCTTAGGACACCCAGATTTTCAACTTGTGAAGTGAAAATCCGACATTAAGATTCAACCAGACAACAGCAGAGTTTGTAAGACTTTTTAACTTGATTTGCAACATTTTGTGTTGCTAGGTTTTGTCATTTGTACTTGAATTCCAATGGGAGGCCAAAGCCCAGGACCTGTTCCCGATGACAAAAAAGGCTGGGAGTGGGGAGGGTGTGGTTCTGTTAGGCGCTAATTTTACCCAATGTGTTTGCCTATAAAGACTGGTTTTTAGGAGCCCTCATTTTGTAAAATAGAGACAAAAATGGTCATTGCCACTGGTTTAGCGTGGGTGGGTTTTGTAAGGTAAGTTGCTGTATAAATCCCAGCAATAGCAGTAGTCAGTTTGAAAAGTATTTGGTTTCTCTTCAGTAGATATTTGGGCATTGTGCTGCCAGCTGCGGGCGCCATCGAGACGATAATGCCTGTCCCCTTCCTCAAAGAGCCTGTAGTCGTAGCAGAAGAGAACTCGTGAAGTGCCAGGCACCTCCGGACTGACGTAAGTTAATGACGAGATAGGGAGCAGGGAGGAACCATGGGCGCTGGGGGAGAGAGGCGGGCAGGACTAAAGACACGTGGCGTCTGTAGAAGCCCTGACTCCAGAGATGCAGAGCTGTAGGCTTGGGAGGTGGGACCTCCGGGCCTGCATGCTGTTGTGGATACCTGGGTCACCAGAATTACCTCTTTAGGGATTTCCTGGGCTTCTCGTCAGTTTCGCCTTGTCCCTGAAGAGGACAGGTGCAGTCCACGGCGATGTTTCAGTTGCTCCACAGCAGAGAGGAGCCACTGGCGTAGAGCTGAGCTGTGAAACACTCATTCTTTGTTTTCAGAGTTTGCTTTTTACCTGCCATATTTACTTGGAGATAAGGACTTGATTTTTACCCCAAGATTCTTTTCAAGGCAGGTGGTTCGTTGACTGCCTTCGAGCAGGGTGGGGAAATGCCTACTGCAAAGGTAGGTAGGTCCCATTCAGATGCCCTCAGTGAAGGTGTGGAGTGCTCGTTTTCTCTTAGAAAGACTTTGTTAAAATGAAGATTTTGATTGAGTTGGTTTGGGGCCTGAAATTCTGCATTTCTAACCAGTTCCTGGGTGGTGCCAGTGGCCCTGGTCTTTGGACCTCGCTTTAGTAGCAATGGCAGAGGTTTGCTTGCCAAGGAATCATAGCTGCCTGTAGTTTCCACAACTGCCTCTAGATGTCCCCATTATCCATGAGATCTTGCTCCTAGGGTTCAACTCGCAGCCTCCAAACCTAGAGAATACAATGTCAGCAGTTTATTCACACTGAAGGCTCCTCTAAAAACTGGTGTTTGGATCCATTGTTTCTGTGGGACTGGTGAAAAAAAGTTTAGCTCTACTCTTTTAAGGAAAAACAACCAAGTTGTTTTTCTAAGAATTTTCCAGCTACCTACTTTATTTACCACAAAATGCTAAATCCAAATCAAAATATCTCAGAAATTAGCAGTTAACTCTACATGAAAGTTACAGTAGAGAATTATTTCCACAGTCTTAAAACTTAGATCTTTATAAGAAACTAGTGTTAATACTAATAATTTTATCACTGTAAATTTACCTATAAACATCACTAGTATAAATAAGGCCATTCAGGCCTCCTGCATAGACTATCCAGGGCCCTTCTATGGTGGGGCACATGTGATTCAATTAGCTCATTAACCCTCTCAACATCCCTATAAAGTGACACGTACCCCATTTTATAGGTGGGGAAACTGAGGCACATGGCAGTTAAGTAACACCCAAAGTCACACCGAAAATGGTAGGGGCCATTCAGTTAATCACCATAGTAGGTTGCCCTTCATGCTCAAACATTTACTGAGTGAGTTAGTGTTTTCTGTTTCTAAATAAACATAATGAGTCCTTGGTAACTGTCCCTTGAAGGATTTCATGAGCTTGATTGCTGATAATGCAGTCCTGGTGTACTGGCCGAGGTCTGGGTCTGGTTTTGACATCCTCATGAGTGGCTAAGAGGCACAATATGCATAATAGTATTTTTTAATTTCACTGTCAAACCCTAACAAAGGTACTTACCTGATTTCTGTAGCTGTGTGAATGGAGGACACAGAGGCTGGGATGAACAGGGAATCAGTTTGCTTGTGACGTTGGTGAGACATGGCGCTAAGATTCACCTTATTGCCTGGAGAGCCCAACCTCAAAGCCACTGAGTCTGACAACAGTCAGGTCCCATGATCTCTAGACAGCAGTTTCGTCCTAGGACAAGATGGCTCTTAGACCAGTGGCCTCAGTAACTTAGGTGGTTTTGAAAAAAATGCATTGAGCTCTTCTGTAATCTAACCGCCCGCTTGCGGGGTCTCGTTAGAGGGAAGGGAGCACGAGGAGGGGCCCTCGGGTGTTCGGCCAGCAGGGTCTCAGAAGCTGCTTGTGGTCACAAGCATTTGGAAATGGCAAATGTAGCCGAGAAAGCGCACACAGTCGGTAGCTTAACGTTTTTTTTAATGAGATAGGATCACAATGACACGAAACCTTCTTATTTTCCCATGACTGGGGGAGTTCCCACAATCCGAAGATCTCCAAACTGGGGCCCGCCAACTTCCTCGTGCTTTGGGCGGACTCCCAGCTGTGGAACCTGCTGGCGAGTGTCATTTCCCCTTCTCTGGGCCTCCTCTCCTCGCCGCTGCCCCCGCTGCCAGGCGAGGTGGCTGTGGGTTCGTCTGGTGGCTTGGCCGGAAGTCGATCCGCAGACGCGAGGCAGGGCACAAGTGCCCTTATTTGGTAGGCCGCGATGGGCCACCGCTCTGCCCAAAAGTAACAGGGCGATGGCAGCGGCCACGTGGAGGCCTGATTTTACCCCTGCACCCACAACCACCCCCAGAACAGGCCGCTGCCGGGAAGGAGCCGGGCCCGGTGGGCGGTGCCTGCACCGGCCTCGGGATGCCGGGGGCACCAGCCTGGGTTTCGGTTCAGCGCTCCGCACCGCCTCGTCCTGGTCACGTGGGGCCTGCGGTTCCCATAGCAACACCAATCTCCAGCCGCCGGCCCTCCGCACCTGGAGCGGAGCAGCCGCGGGAGGAGCGAGTCCAGCCCCGCCATGCCTCGCGGTCCGCTGCCCCGGCTCTGGCTCCTGCTGCCGCTGCTGCTGCTGCCGCTGCTGCCGCTCGCGGACAGGCAGGGTCACCACGGCCGTGCCGGGCCGAGGGAGGCGGCCGAGGAGGCGGGCTCGGGACCGGCCTGGCGGGGCCTTCCCGGGCTGCGGGGGCGGCGGGGGGGGCGGGG